AATAATGGAAAAAATTAACTGTCCTGTTGCAAGTCAGAAAATACAAATGTAACATTTCTGCAAGCAGATAAGAATGCTCTCAAGGAACTCCCCAGAAGTTAAATTTTTTTATCAAAATGGAAACATGTTTAGGTTTATCATTGCCAGGAACTCAGTGCCAAAAACTAAGCTGACTGAATGCAGAGAATGAAACAATGAGCGGATGAAACAAATGAATTCTGAAGACTAAGATCTACACAAATGTAGCAATTTAGCTTCTGAAACTAGAATCAGTTAAATTGCATTTAATGATTAGTTAATGAAGGTAGTTACAAAGTCGTTTCTCTAATGCTACACACTATAGACGTTTCAGAAAAAGGAAAGGAAAGTTTATTCCTTCTAACCCACTTTCATTTAGAATAGCATGCCGTAAGAAAATTTCATGCAGGGAGGTGCGTACTCTGCAGCTGCACTCAAAAATGGTTTGTTTAAACTGTGGTTTGTGCAGCTAACTGTGGTCAGTCAACCAGGTATTAGTAACAAGTCCAAGTTTGTGCATAAACTCTGGTTTGTCTGCTTCTTGCTTATTTTCTACCTCCCGACAGAAAGCCCATCATCCTTATTACAGTCCATAATAAGCAGTCAAAAAAGGATAAAACTACTTACAGTCCATAATAAGCAGTCAAGAAAGGACAAAACTACTTATCACACTGTTTTGTAAGTTCAGATGTTACAACAAACCATGATTATTACAGACTGTAGTTTAATAAACCAGCTACAAGTTTTCCAATAAGCAGTCAAAAAAGGATAAAACTACTTACAGTCCATAATAAGCAGTCAAGAAAGGACAAAACTACTTATCACACTGTTTTGTAAGTTCAGATGTTACAACAAACCATGATTATTACAGACTGTAGTTTAATAAACCAGCTACAAGTTTTCCTCTTTTCAAGCACTGTATTTTATTTTATTTTATCTTAATTATGATTTTCTGTTCAGGAGAGAGGAAACAAGGGGATGATTTAAGAAACAGGTGCAACAGATGCAACAAATAGGTGAAATTTAAACAAAACAATACTAATAAAGGAGCAGTACAACAGTGGATTATAGGAAATATAGGTATCAGAAACTGCTCTTCTGTCGGAGGGTAGCCATGTTGGTCTGTAGTAGAACAGCTAGACTCGAGTCCAGCAGCACCTTACAGACCAACAACATTTTCAGATACAAAGGGAGCTTTGACTCTCAAAAGCTTATACCCCCCAAATCTTGTTGGTTTCTAAGGTGCTACTGAACTCGAATCTAGTTGCTCTTCTTTATGTTTCTTACCACAGAAAGCAAGGGGTTATGAATGAGGTCGGAAGCATGACATTCATGTATAAAGTGCCAACATGTGTGGGGGAAAGGGAGAGGCACTCGAGCACAGCAAGTGAACGGAGACAGATTTGCTTCTGGGTGTACAGTGCCTGTGTGTGCAGACTGCGCACAGGCCTTGTCCCGGTGATTAAGAAGGCTGTCTCTCAAATGTTCCTGATCACAGGGTTGGAATCCACACACACACAGTCTGAATAAATAGAGGGCACTGTGCCAAGAAGGGGCCACCATCTTTCTCAGGCAGGGTCAACATGCTTGGCAATGCTGCCCCTCTTAATGTTTCCCCATACCCACAGTGATGTATGTAAAGGAATGGGGGGGGGGAGTGACATAACTCAAGGAAAAAAGTGGACTGAATTCTATTATTCTATTTCACTAAGCTAGATCCTATGAGTCTTTCTTGTTAAGTCCTCCTTCAAGAGAGAAAGACTTCTTCTAATGCCACAATGGTTTTCTCTAATGGAGAAATGGTCTGTCTTTGTTTAAAGAAAACTTCATGGAAAGGTATGGAAGAGAATCACAGAATCCAACTCAGTGGATGTGATTCTTCTTCTTCTTTTTTTTGGCCTCCGTTTTATTCCAGATCCTAAAGCGGCCATTGTTTCTGTCAGACCTGCCAACGGCTAAATGTCAAATAAGCAGCTGTCAATCATCTAACAGTATTCCACCTCAATCACCTTTTGTTTCAATAAGATCACAAATAGGATGTTGTCTCCTATCATCCTGCATTTTAAACCATCCTTCTTGACAAAATAACTTTCAGGCATCTAAGCATCTGTCTCTGAAAGAAGAGAAGAGCTAGTTTTTGTAATTAGGACCAGATTGCTACACCTGCAGTTCAGAATAGGGCAATCTATTGAAAATGGAGATTTCCCCAATTTTCAGTGAGAATTCCACTAATGCCATCTGAAAACATCTGCTTTCCCAGGTGAGTCTTTGACATATACTGTACTGAAGACTGTTCCAACCTGGCAGGGGAAAGCCAAATGGTACATTGCCTAGGAAGTCTAGATGAATAGAGCCAGAGCATGGAAAAAGTCCAAAGAGGAAACGTACTGGCAAAAAGAAATGTTCTGCTCTTGTAAATGTGTTTCTTCCCTACATTAATCGCAGCACAAAAAATAATGGAAAAAATTAACTGTCCTGTTGCAAGTCAGAAAATACAAATGTAACATTTCTGCAAGCAGATAAGAATGCTCTCAAGGAACTCCCCAGAAGTTAAATTTTTTTATCAAAATGGAAACATGTTTAGGTTTATCATTGCCAGGAACTCAGTGCCAAAAACTAAGCTGACTGAATGCAGAGAATGAAACAATGAGCGGATGAAACAAATGAATTCTGAAGACTAAGATCTACACAAATGTAGCAATTTAGCTTCTGAAACTAGAATCAGTTAAATTGCATTTAATGATTAGTTAATGAAGGTAGTTACAAAGTCGTTTCTCTAATGCTACACACTATAGACGTTTCAGAAAAAGGAAAGGAAAGTTTATTCCTTCTAACCCACTTTCATTTAGAATAGCATGCCGTAAGAAAATTTCATGCAGGGAGGTGCGTACTCTGCAGCTGCACTCAAAAATGGTTTGTTTAAACTGTGGTTTGTGCAGCTAACTGTGGTCAGTCAACCAGGTATTAGTAACAAGTCCAAGTTTGTGCATAAACTCTGGTTTGTCTGCTTCTTGCTTATTTTCTACCTCCCAACAGAAAGCCCATCATCTTTATTACAGTCCATAATAAGCAGTCAAAAAAGGATAAAACTACTTACAGTCCATAATAAGCAGTCAAGAAAGGACAAAACTACTTATCACACTGTTTTGTAAGTTCAGATGTTACAACAAACCATGATTATTACAGACTGTAGTTTAATAAACCAGCTACAAGTTTTCCAAATTCCAGTTTGGTGTCCCAAGGCTTGTTGGGTCATTTGCTCTTAGAATAAGTAACCAGGATCACAGTGGTACTGAGATATCTGAATGTAGCCTCTATAAAGCAACTCTGCAGGTGAACTACCAGCAGCTGAAAATAATTGCTGGAACTTTTGATTTGAAAGCTCTTACAACTCTTATTCCTGTCTACCTGTCAAACTGGGCACTTACCAGATGCTCTGAACAATGCAAAACATTTGCTTTTGAAACTAGTTTTGTTGCAGCAGGATGACAAACCTGCTGGCAGCACCTTAGAGAAGGCATGGTTTAGTGTGACATGAGCTTTCATAGGTAACCATTAAGCCATAATACGCTAGTTAGTCTGCACTGTGCCACCGCACTCTTTGTGTTCCAGATAAAATCAAATGAGTCACTTTCAGACAATAATTAAAGAACACAAAAAGGCTTCTGTCTACTTATAACTAAACTGGAAGGGGAGGGGGGTGAAGCAAGAGTCCACAGAGCTCAGTATTCAATATAATCAAACAAATATGTATTTACAAGTATGGGAAATTGTTCACAGTTCTCAAAAGTTTTACCCAAATGAAACAAACAAACAAAAAAGTAGAGCAAATTATGAGATATGCTTAAAAGACGTCAATTCTGATATTTCTGAATCAGATTGTGGGAACAAGATGGGTGTTGGCCATCCAGACCTCCAACCCCCTCCCGCACTGTTCCTGGGGATCCCCTTTCTCACAGGAGCAGGGAGGGAAGTCCTGCTGTGTGGACTGCCACTGAATCCAAGTCACTGGTTGTAGCTATAAATAATACAAGAGCTATGAGCAAGAAGAAATAAGAGGTAGGAGTCAGATATACACCTTGCTTAGCCCTCCAAGCTGCCATGCTGAGAAAGCAGGTCATAAAAGTGGCCATGTGGCCTGTGTAATACTGGTAGAAAGACACCTGCTGTAGTGGAATCCCTTCCACAGCCTCTGCAAACCCCGCCCCACTAATGCCACAAGAACAATCCTCCAGCATGCTGGGTCCACAAAGCCCGAACAAAACTGCAACCTTCAGTTAATGTAGCTGTACTTTTAAAATCTAACCAGAAAAGGCTGTATCATATCACCCCTTTCTCAAGTACAGGATGTGATAGTTGCTGTTGTGGTACAAACCACTCAGTGTGCCAATGGCAGCTAAAAGCACATTAAGAGGCTAAGGATCTCTTTAAAAAATCTAAAAGGCAAAAAGTTTAACTTTCCATGATCAATAAAATGATATATTAACATTTTTAAAAACTTGACAAAGACTGCCCAAGTTTTATCTTCCTGGCTTTGGTTTGTAAGGACTATGATGAAAGAAGTTAACTGACACCCACATTTTGCCTAAGATGATCTAAGCAATTATCTAGAGGCCTGTACAAATAAGTTTTAAAGCCAATACCTGAAAAACTGCTTTTTTAAAACAACAACTGAGCAGTACAATTACTTCCTTTAACATTAAAAGCACCCCCTTTAAACAAAATATCCCAACGATAGCCTTGCATGTACTTAACCTGTTCTTCAAGATGATCTGCAACATACAGATTTTCAAGGATAGCTTCCATGTTTTGACCTGCTACTGACCTATAGTAAACTCACTCATTCAAGGTTGTTTTTAAAAATCAGCCTAACAGACATTGTTCTGCCCGTCTTCTGTCTGCATGTTCTGGTCAAAATGTTTATGTATAGCAACTTAAAAAGCAAACAAACAATTTTTCGCAATTTCAAGCCGTATACTTACGGTTGGCATAGCTTTACCAAGTCCTGGTCAGTGGTGTTTGGAGGCAGCCCTCTGATGTAAAGGTTTGTTTTACTTAGCTGATCCCATCCTGAGTTGCTGCTACTGCTGCTGTTATTATTGCTGCTGGTGATGCTCGGGCTGGGAGGAGCCATCGGGTGAGCAGGCACAATGGGCTGCTGCAACGAAAGAAAAGAGAGGATCAGAACGCAAAATACGGAAGCACCTTCAGCACCTACAATACAAGCATCACAGTGCCGTGAGAACACTTAATCACTCTGAAAGCTTATGCACCACTACTGTATTTGTGATACAGTTACGTCAAGTAGTGGCTGGCTTATGGCAACCCCACAGGGTTTTTTTTTAAGTAAGAGATGAACAGAGGTGGTTTGCCATTGCCTGCCTCTGTGTAGCAATCCTGAACTTCTTGGTGATCTCCCATCCAAGTACTAACCGAGGCCAAACTTACTTAACTTCCAAGATTTGATGAGACTGACCTAGCCTGGCTCATCCAGGTCAGAGTATGCGTTATTACCAGGGCTCTTTTTGTAGAAAAAGCCCAGCAGGAACTCATTAGCATAATAAGCCACACCCAACAGCAGAAACTCATTAGCATATTAGGCCATGCCCCTGACAGCACAGCTCATTAGCACATTAGGCTGCACCCCCATGTTACCAGAAGTGTGGTTATCCAGCCACACCCACCTTTTGCTTGTTATTCTGTTTACCTTGTTTGTTGTCAAAACACAGGGCTTTTTTGTAGCAGGAGCTCCTTTGCATGTTAGGCCACACACCCCTAATGTAGCCAATCCTAATGAGTTTCTGCTGTTGGGTGTGGCCTATTATGTTAATGAGTTCCTGCTGGGCGTGGCCAACTTGGGAGCCAGCCGGAACTCCGTTCCTGTGCGTTCCTGCCCAAAAATAGCCCTGGTTATTACTATACAGTTCCAAATATCCTTTCATCACAGTGCTCTCAGGTATGTCTTAGACACCTACAGAACAAGTCATTTGAAACAGTACGGATGACACAGAGTATTATTCCCTTATGGTACCATGTGAGGACTTCAAACACACCTTTCAGTTTACTTGAGAAATCATGAAGTCAAATTAAATTAAATACTACTCTTTCTGGATTATAAACAGAAAGAGAAACTAAAGAAACACAAAGAACATGAACCTGTTGTGATTAGTCTCTTGGGCCATAATCTGTGTAATCTTCATTTTAAGAGAAGATGGTCACCAAAACCATCACAAACTACAGATAGATCTAGCTTTGTGAACCCATGGAAAGAAACTAGAGGGACAGGTTTGTTTGTAGTGTTATGGAAAGATACCATTCCTTTGTGCTCTGCTATTGAGGGGTGAGGGATGTAAGGAACACTTGCAGACAAGGCAACATACCTGCTTGATGACCTATTTAGATTTCTGAGCCTCTTTCTATGCCACACTGAGAAACCAGTCTAACGTGCTGAATGGCTTGGCCCACACTGGAAGTATGCACCTATAAATTGCATTTACTCACATTCTTTTCGTTATTTGGTCTCTCCCTCAAATTTCCCTAGCGCTGTCGCCCTTCCTCCACCAAGACCTCAAAAGTAAGTGCTCTAGTGCAAGTAACACCAATTTTGCTTATGTTACTGTACAGCAGAATTTACACTGATGAGATCAATCAGTCCACCAGCCTCTGTCAGTACAACCCATAGAGCTCTACCCTATTGGAGGCTTTTTATGGAATAGACCAAAGCAAATTAGACCTTCAGGGTAATTACTTAATAGATTATCTGATGAAAGTAGAAGAAGAGAAGGAAGTACCATATTATGGCTTCATTAAGATTATCCACTTAATATGTTTTGTTTCAAAACCACTCGGCAAGCATGAAGCAGAAAATCTTTCCTGTCAATGATTACAACATAAATTTGATTCAACAGTGAGAAGTAAACCATTTTCAGACCCCCCCCCCCTCAATAGAAAGCTCCAACAGAAATATCATGTGCTGGAATATCATGATGTGTAACAGAACAGAAAGGCCTACCAACAATACTTGCATCATTCCAGTCCTCCAATGCTGACAGCCCCCAGGTTAAGAAGGTGATCTCTGGCTAGGAAATCAGAGGAACATCTATCATGTTAGTTTCCAGCCACACTACCATGGCCTTTAGCCATGATAAATTTTGTAGTGGCACAGGCACTAACGTTGATACCCACCACACCAAGATTTGAAACCAGAGTTTGAAATTGTTTGGGGTCCAAGGGGGCTAGGGTGGGAGCAAGGGCAGGGAGGCAAAAATGCCATACAGACAGGACTGGGGGGAAACAGGCCACAGCTTTTATTTGAATACTACAGAAGGAGCATTGGCACAGCATGGGGATGGATCCAGCATCAGCTGACCCACCTGCTGCCCAGTATAACCCCATCCTGCCTGCTGGAGGGGGGTAAAACCAAGGAGTGGCAAGCCACGGGATGCCACATGGGTGGCTGTGTGGTTCCTCTTGCCACCTGTTGGTGAGAGCCAGCTGACAGCCCCTGCCTGGGCATGTAGCTGAGTGACTCCAACCCCAAGACCCCTTATGAGAGTCCCCAAATGGGAGAGACATGCATGCAGGCACAGCCTCCCCCCCAATTTGATCCATCTCAGTGCCCAAACCACCCACCAAAGCTGTGACAAAACACAGTGAAAACCAACAACTGAGTAAACCAAACACAAACCCATAACACTCAAACCCAGGGAGTGTGGGAGGAAGAGCCTGAAAGGAGGCAAGGGGAAATGCTCCACAGCAGATAGCCAAATAGGGAGGAAGTGGGCTGGAACAGAAGCCCCAGTTCTGGGATCGCCCCCAGAGTTCCTCCCTTCCAGCTGGCTACAGGAGAGGCTCATTGGCTGGCTAGGGCTTGACACAAAGTCCTCACCCCTTCTGGGCTCCTGAAGCAGCCTGGGAGCTGAGGATGTACCCCCCCTTTGGCTTGCTCCCAGCCCCGCAGCCACATATGTGGCCCCAGGTAAGCCTGGGGCCATTGCTTATGAAGGTCTGGCTAGGATCAACAATGATGAACATTGGTGCTGACATAATGCTTCAGGATGGCAGTGAGAATTCATTCTGGAAGTGTACAATCCCAAGGCCTATATCCAGTCTCTTAACCACTGATAAGAGATCACAACTTTTATGGATCTAATAGCCCTAGGTTATTAGAACATGATTTGTTTCTCAGACCCCATTCTTCTCCAGGAAGATCAGAGATGCCTACATATGATTTCCAGGCTTCCAGGGCTGACCCAGACATACAAGTCAAGTCCTGTTTAGTTCAGAAATGCAACATGTGTCTTCACCCCAACCTTATACCCCTTCTGTAAAGCTCTGTTGTTCATTCTGGAGGCAGTTAAAATCATTTTAAGTTCTTTGATTATCCTTAGAACATTTATAACCATGACTTCCAAAACTATACAGTAGTACTTACTCCTGTGTCACAGCTCAAAAACCTAGAAATCCTACATAATAGCGTAGTGCAACATCCATAGCTGACTGATGTTCTCAACAGGTAATCATTTACAAAAGCTTAGAGTTCTCCCCACCCCACCTGAAGATAAAGAAAACCACTTTCCCTTTCATGTATAGGAATGAAGCGATGGCAGAAGTTTGGAATAAACATGGAACTGGCCCAACCATCTGGCGCCCAAATTTATAAGAAAAAAGGGCTGGGGAGGGGAAGTGTATCATACTCTTCCTTATCTCTTACTTGCCTCCCTTTATTATCCCTCCAGATGAACTCAGATAACAGGAGTAACTTGGGCTGACCAAAAAGCACTTGGGAAGAGGGAGTCCAAGAAGGTCACAGGAATTGGAATATGTATGAAGGTCCTTTAGCTTTTAAAGCTGTACTATCCCGATCTTTCTAAATAATTGGGACAGCATTATGTTTAAGGACATGCAACAGCCATTATTGTGTCTAGTGTGGACCTAGGATAGAATTGCTGGCCAACACGCAAATGATAGGGCCCATCCATACCCCAAATGTAAATCTGTTTGTCATTCAGACTTTCCCTGTCTCTCTGGAAAGTGCACTTCTGTTACTGGGTTTAGAGATCTAACAGAATGTTCAGAATACTAAGCAGGTTACAATTTACAGGGTTTTAAAGCTATGACGTTTCTATACTGGTGTGAAACCAATAAGTTTATAGTGTAGGTGTGTCTTTAGTAATTATCCTGTCTTGTGCACTACTTTCTATACTCTGAATGTACCAGAAATTTCTAAATTAACTTTATACCGGAGGCCTTATTTCAAGGCTTTCTTTCTCTAATCAAAGTGGATAGCAGATAGATGGCACAGATTTATTATTTCAAGAAATTCGTTTGGTCTACTGTGCTGAACTATCTACTGATTTATGACTCCAGAGTCTTGTTAGGGAATTAAGTCTAAAATGTTGCATACTAGTACAGAAATACTGATAGCAAGCAACTGTGCTATGAAAGTAAATCTTCCCAGATTACATTTCAGGCAGCCAAATATCAAGTCTAATTTTATTTTCTGGGGATTTTATTTGCTTGCAGAGACTACATGCTACTTATACTAATGCAAGAACTGCCTAATACTGAAGCATTAGTTGACAGTAGGAGGATTTGAAAAATCTTGCCACTGGCATTCAGCTTACGGCAAAGAATTAATTGTGAAGCGCCTAATTTAATCCACTTAACTCCCATGACTTTCATTAGCCCAGTATTTTGACTTACTAAAGACTAGTTTGTTGATTTAGTACCAAAGACTTTCTCAATGATAAATTACATAAAATAGTCTTGAATTTGAGGGCCCTTCACTTAATGCTCCAGGAACGTTTGCTAATCAGTGCGGTATAATATCTAACTAAAGTTGAGGACACATGGCATCAAACTGGGTGACCTTGGCCCACTGCCTCTCTTTCAGACCAAACTCAGGATTCCTCTGAGAATAAGAGAACCGTGCACTCTCGCCTTAACTCCCTGAAGAACTCCCTAGGCCACTTCATCAGAATTGGTAGCAGAGTAAAAGCTTGAAAGGGGTTCGATGGGCTCATTTAGAACATGCATCCAATAGAGGTACAAACACATTAAATACAGGTAAAAATCACACATACTTTGAGAACACCTGGAATACTAATGCACCTTCATAATTTCTACTACTTGCTAGAAAGCATTTACAAGTACTCA